TAGTTTAATTATATTTTCTATGTTAGTTTAACATTTTTATTTGCGTAAATGCAACGTTGCATTTACGCAAATAAAAATGTTAAACTAACATAGAAAATATAATTAAACTAATATTTTCACAACGTTTCTATGACATTAAAAAATGCCATATTATAAAATAATATAATTATAATATTTATAAAACATTATAGAAAAACGTTAAGAAAGTTTACATGGAATTAATGTTTCTAAATGTTGATTTAATGTTCCTTGCTTACTGGATATGGCACCGCTACAATTGTAGCGAAAAAGCTGTAGCGCTACGGTAGCAGTGTCTTGCCGGAACGCACTCATAGTATCGTGTGCCGTTGGCTTCACTCTCTCTGCAGTCTCACTCGCTGCGCCTGTGCAGAACAAGGACAGAGAGCCCCAAACGCAAGCGTTTGTTTTGTTTCTCGACTTCTCGACCTTCTCGTCACTTCTCGTCGGTCAGCGGTCGTAGTCGGTCGCATATATTACACTTATTGTCACGTGTATTACAACGAAAAGCAGAATTGTACTGCAGTGTATCATTTACGTAAGAAGAAAAAAGTGCTTTATTTATTTGTGTAGTGTATATCAAGGTTAGTATAAAAGTCTTCAGATATTTATCGATACTTAATTAATTAACCTGAGAAATAAAAAATAGGGTTAGGTTAGGTTAAGAGTACCCAGTCAGAAATTACTCGTCGATCGACGTCGAAACGATGTCGAATCGACGTTAATATGGCGATTTCGATGTCGACGCGACATCGTTTCGACGTCGATCGACGAGTTAGGCTGGTGGCAGACAAAGCTATCCGTAAGCGCTTAAGGACTGACATAGCCATAGACTTAAGGTAAGGCAGAGAAAAACGTAAGTCCTTAAGCGCTTACGGATAGTTGTCTGCCATCAGCCTTATTTCTGACTAGGTAGAGATGCGAGAAGAGTGCGACTTGGCTCATGGTCTTTTGCATATTGTTCTGTATGGACGTCTTGATCAGCATACATAATATACGAGGATGAGTCAAAAATTATCCGCACTTTTCGTTCTACAATTTATTTTCACAAAAATGTGGGTTCACTATGTACGTCATTTTTCAACATAGTCTCCTCCCTTGGCAATGTACTTGTTCCAGTGCACAAGCTTGCGTATACCTTCCGAGAAGAAGATTTTCGGTTGGTCGCAAAGCCACTTGCACCGCTTCTTGCACGTCTACGTCTGTAGAAATTTGACGACCTCGCAAAGCATCCTTGAGCGGCCGAAACAGATAAAAGTCGGAGGGAGGAAGATCGACTTTTATCTGTTTCGGCCGCGCAAGGATGCTTTGCGAGGTCGTCAAATTTCTACAGA